CGTACAACATTGTTACTGGCACCCCTGACCACCCCAGCAGTTTCTCTGTGCTGACTCCTGGCTACAGATAGCCCAAGTCATTATGCCCTGGGCACGAATCTGCAGAGGGAAAGACCAGTGCACTATTTTGGCCGCCCATGTCATACCCCCAGTGACAAAACTGACCAGAAGAAACCCATCCTTCCAATCCTACAGGGCCTCCCAGAAGAGCCATTAGCAGCTCCACTCCCATAAGTCTGGGTTGAGCCAGTAATCGAAACCCCACCCCCATCTGTTTCCCCAGGGCCTGAATAGCAGCCAGCTCAGGGTGGAAGCTCCGAGCCATCCTGAATCCTGCTCCCAGATTCTCCCTCAGCCCATAACCTGGAAGCAACTATGTGTATTCTTGGAAGTCGCAGAATTCTGTAGAATTTGGATCCCAAGTTTTGAATGGAGGCTGGGGCACTGCCCCAAGGATAGTCTGCTCAGTGGGCTGAACTCTGGGCAATAATTCAGGTCCTAAGATTGGCGGCTAGTAAGAGGGTAAACATCTATACAGACTCACGATATGCCTTTGCTACGCTACATATTCATGGAGCTGTGTACCGAGAGCGAGGACTCCTCTCGGCAGAAGGACACTGAGGAATGGAAAGCAGCACTCGGAGAGATTAGGAGAACTGTTTATTACGCCAGTGGGCACAGAGGAGTTAACACTCTAAATCTCCGGTTCCCACTGGGGGTCAGACAAAGTCTTTTATGGGAGAATTGGGGAAGGGGAGGTCTCAGGATGGGGAATGGGCTCAGAACCCATCCTACACACTGTCAAAGGGAGGAGTCAGAGAAGCAGGAAGTCTAATCTGTTCGAGGCACTAATCTGTTCAAGGCACTGATGTATTCAAGGTTTCAGGTTATCCTGTAGCTCTGGGGAAGGGCCATAAATTTGCCAGAAATTTCAGGCAGCTATCAGCCCTGAGTTATTCATTCATTCACAGTCCTTCCATATCATTCCCCCCTCTTGAGCCTCCTTAACTATACTCAAGGAGGATCAATTAACAGGAAGGTGGTAAAGGACAAGCAGTTGATACTTGATAGCTTTAAGGCAGGAGGTCGCAAATCACTTAAACAGATTAAGGACACATAATCCAACTCCCCAGGAGAGACAGTAGCTATTGGGCCCATGTCCAGAGCCCATACTGTCTTGAGACCTGCATAGCAGACCCATTTCCCTGCAGGGGGACAATTGTAACAATGATGGCTCTTTCTGCTCTTACCTGTGTCCGGTTTTCTGCAACATCAGTAGAGTTAGGACTGTATGGTACGGTAAGTCACAGCACTTCAGAATGCACTGAGCCGGGGCTGCCAACTCACCTGGAAGCTCCGTCCCTCTGAGCCTCCCCAAGTGACATGACTAAACCAGGAATCTCAGCAGGTTCTGCTCACTGTCTCACTGTCCTGTTGTTAAAACCCTCACCGTCTCCTCTAGGCTCTCACCCAGAGCACTGCAGTGAAGGCCAGATTTGGGTTCCTGCCCACAGGGTGACAGAATCCAACCCTGCTGGCATCTGCATGCTCGTGTGCTGTGTTACAGGACTGCAGGGTCAGGAACACACACTACAGTCTCGGTAGGTATTGTCACCTGCCTCTCTGAGGCAGCCCCATGCGTTTCCTCATTGCAGGACCACGGAGATGCTTTCTTTATGTTATCGTCAGTGCAATAGCAGTAGTAGTAGCGATCATTTGCCAGATGGTGCACGTGCTCGCCAGGTAGAGAGTAAGAGCAGGAAAGTGAGAATGCACCCTTCACAGGGTGTGGTCACTCCACAGTCCCCCTTTCCTCCATTTCTCCCTCCTTTTGGGACTCTGGGCACACACACGGGCACCTGGTGTATTTCTCAAGCCTCCAAGTCCTGGCTACAAACCACACAGATGACCGTGTGAAATCCAGTGACCTTACCCACCACACAACGGGCTGGTTCTTGCAGATACTTTTAAAAATGCACATCCTGGGGGCTAGCAGATAGTGCTGAACTCCTGGACCTCGAGGCTTAAAACTCAAGCCAGGCCTTTTCTAGCTTAGGCCAGGCAGAATGGCTCCCGCAAAGAAGGGTGGCGAGAAGAAGGGCCGTTCTGCCATCGACGAGGTGGTGTCCCGGGAATACACCATCAACATTCACAAGCGCATCCATGGCGTGGGCTTCAAGAAATGTGCCCCTCGGTCACTCAAGGAAATCCAGAAATTTGCCATGAAAGAGATGGGGACTCCAGATGTGCACATTGATACCAGGCTCAACAAAGCTGTCTGGGCCAAAGGAATAAGGAATGTCCCATATCGAATCCGTGTGCGGTTGTCCAGAAAACGAAACGAGGATGAAGATTCGCCCAACAAGCTCTACGCTCTGGTGACCTGTATACCTGTTACCACTTTCAAAAATCTACAAACAGTTGATGTGTGTGGGAACTAGCTGTTGATTTTCAAATAAAGTTATAAAACCAAAAAAAAAAAAGACAAAAACTCAAGCCAGGTGTATGTGTGTGAGTGCCCGAGATCCCAAGATGAGAATGAAAGAGAAGGGACTGAAGTGTGGCCATCTTCCTGAGGGGAGATTTCTTGCTTTCTGTCTGTCTCTCTGGTGAGTTCACATGCTCTATAGAAAAACAAACAAACAGAAAAAAAACCTCTCTTTAAAAAAAAGCACAACTGTTATGGCAGCTGGCTCCCACAAGGACAACTGCACAGTTCAGTCCCAGGCCTGGTGGTTTTACAAACACGTTGGGTGCCTATGCGTGTATGCCCAAAATCCTGAGTGGAGAATGGAAGGAGGAGGACTGTGGCATGGCCGTTCCCCAAGGAGAGTGCTTTCTCACTTTCTCTCTCTCTCTCTTTTTGGTGAGCACATGAACCTTATAGCAAAAATTACAAAAACCCAGAATGCCCGGGTTCAGCATGTGGCGTGAAGCGCTGGACTCCCAAATGGCCAACTGTGATACAAGCCCTGGATCTGGTGGTTTGCCCTCTTACTCATTCTCTGGTGAGTGTATGTGCTCTATGGCAAACTAAAAAATAATAATAAGTAAAATTAAATAAATAACTTAATTAATAATAATTTCTTAAAAAAGAATGCTCAATCAGGTCAGGCCATGACTGGTGGTTAAGGCGGCTGGACCCACAGGGCCGACCTGCGTGATTCAGGTCCCGGAGCTGGCAGCTTGAGAAACTCATCATGGACATGCGCGTGAGTGCCCAAAAGCCGAAAGGAAGGAGAGGTTAGAAGGGATTAGGACACGACTATTCCCCACGAAGGGTGCTTTCTTACTGTCTCTGTCTCTCCGGCAAGCGCACATGCCCTGCGGCAAAACCGAGAAAAGATGCATGCCCTATCAAATGGAGCAGGGTCTCTGACAAAGCCGAGTTCTTCCAAAGGGAGACAAAGGCCTAGTCATAGCGCGAGGCTTCCGTCAACGACGGGCTCCCCGGACTGCCTCACTCACCTCTCATCTCTCCTGAGCACCGCCCCACTTGGCCTAATGCACACAGGCCTCACAGTCAGCGAGGAGGCTTTGATCCTTGAGGCGGTCTACCTGGTACCAGCCAGCCTCCAGTATCTGGTGATCCCCCTGCCGTCACTCCTGCCCCTGCCGGCTACTCTCCAGAGCGGCCAGCGAGGAAACCTCAGATAAACCCATCCACTCAAACAAGCCAGCTGAGTCCCTCCTGTAGCTAGGGGCCAGTGAGATCCAAAAGCCCTGCTGTGCCCCACAGTCTGGCGTCTGGCTGTCCCTCCAACCTCAGGCTCCGCCAGCATGTGCCGACGGCAGTATGGGGCCCCTAGAAGTTCCTGAGATGAGCCAGTGGCGCGGGCCGGGTGACGGGGGCAGCGGTGGGAATGGACAGATGCTCTGCTTCCTCCCACCCCAGGAAGGTTCAGGCCACCCCACACCACCTTTCTCCTCCTGAGACTCTGGCTGCGTCCCGCACCTGTTAAGGACAGGCTCCTCTCCACGGCCACCTTGCCTCAGGTGAGGTGATTTCAGGGTCCATGGAGCTGAGCCAGCCAACCATCAGCTCTGTGTGCCAGAAGCCCCTTCAGTGGCAATGACCTTCATGTCCATGTGCTCAGGCCTGTGTCCACATCCCCCATGGCCAGCATCCCCTCTGTTCACCCCAAATTCCCTGAGTGAAGCTTCAGCACACACCACGCCTGGCACTGCCACCCCTCCCTGGGAGCGGCAGACCCCTTCCCTTCCTACTTCAGCTGCTGATCACAACCTGGTGGCTCCGGACCTGGCCGGTCACCAGAGCCATCCTGAAATGCTCTTCTCACCTGCTTAGGTGGCACTGTACTCCTCGGGTTCTCAAGCCCCTCTGGCTATTTGCTTTCTTGGGGACCCGCTTCCTTCTCCACCTCCTGACATGCCAGAAACCCTCTCTGTTCTTGTCTCACCACACTTGATCTCGGTAGACAACCTTACTGATCGTCTGGTCGCCAGCTCTGTACTGGGGAGCACCACCATTAGACAGCCAGTCCCTCTCCCACCCGCTAAGGAACACGGAGGAGCTAGGCAGGCAATGACTCCCGCTGGCAACGGGCACCCTGCAGATTCATGGAGGCCCCCGTATGTGCCTTCCAGGATCCCTCGGCCCCTCTTCTGTACACCAGTGGGCCTATTTGTGACAGTAGCCAGGGCTGCAGTGCATTCGGGCCACTGAGAACAAGTTGGCTACCATGGACCTTCTCATACGGTACTGCAACAGAACAAATTAAGGCCTGTGTATAATTAAAGATGCTAAATCTGGGCCAGTCCCATAGCCTTAGTGCTTAAGGAAGCTGGGTTCCATATGGCAGACAATGGTTCAAATCCTGGCCCTGGTAGCTTGAGAAACGTACTGTACATGTGTGTGTATGTGCCCCAAATCCCAACACCCTCTCGCAATTTAAAAACGAAAATGAAAACACTAAATCCATTCATAGGCCACCTGTCCTCTCAGCTTCAGGTCCCCCTCCACCTCACATGGCACTTACTCCCAAGTACTCCGTGGTCAGAAGCTTCTCGCCTGAGAGCTCTCCAAGCTGGGGCTGGATCAGCTCGTCTTTGTCCAGATCAGCTTCCATGGTGTCATGGTCCTCCTGTTTCAAAGGAGACATGGGTCAATGCTCTGGACATCTTGCCTCAGGATCTCAGAGAGGCGGCTCTCCAGTGTGCCACCGTCACGGAGCAATAAGGTCTCAGCCTGAGCACAGCACCTCCTGGGTGCAAGCCTCAAAGGGTCTCGGGCAGTCTGACCTCTGCTCTGCCACAACCTCTCATGCGGAGGTGAAAGAGTATCCACCATGTGCTCTGGGAGACTGGGCACCCTGTGAGCACCTCCATGGCTATGGGTGTGAAGAGGAGTGACAGTTCTCACTAAGGTCCAACAAGACTCCTAACCACAGCACTCAGAGTTCCTTCCTCTCTGAGGGCAGGTATCACATGAAAAGCCAAACCAGCCAGCCAGCAAGTACCTGTGAAACACCTTCCCATGCACAGGTCTCACAGGGTACCAACTATACATAGTAGGTGTTATGGTTTGTGTGATGGTCTGTCCCCCAAAGGTTCATGTTTTGGAATTTGGTCTTGGGGGCAGTAATTAGATCACAGTGTTTGGACCATGGAGGTACTGGTCTCATGAATGGATTAACGCTGCCTCCTAAAAGAGCTCAGAGAGGGACCAGCAGTTAGCGTAATGGCTACGTCGCTGAACTCCCACGTAGTAGACCACAGTTCGCGTCCTGGACCCGGTGGCTTAAAACTCACACCGGGCACATGTGCGTGCATGCCCAAGATCCTGAGAGGACAACGGAGGAGAAGGGATTGTGGCGTGGCCAGCCCCCCTGGGGGGGGCTTTCTTGTTTTCTGTTTCTCTGTCTGGCAAGTGCACGTGCCCTATAGCAAAAACCTCTCAAAAAAAAAAAAAAAAAGAATAAGAAGAACTCAGAGAGTCCATTATCCCCAGAGAGGGTTGAGAGTAGGGGTGGGGGGAGAGCAGCACTCTCCTTGCATGCACTCATAAGTCCCTCTGCTTCTCTTGGCCATGTAGCTGGCCTGATGCCAGCTGCATGCCTGTGGACTTTCCAGACACTGGAATCATGAAGCAAATAAATCTCCCCCCCCCTCTCTCTTTTTTTAAAACAAATCAACTAGTCTCAGGTACTTTTGCAAGCAACCTAACAGCAGACCAAGAATACAGGTCTGCTTTTCTCCAACAGCTTAGAGTCCAGAAATAAGAAGACTCAACCAAAAGTGAAGCACTGCTCTGCTTGCAGGAAGATGGGGTAAACACCGCTTCCCTGTTCCTCCCACTAAGTACAACCAAAACCACTGGACATTAAACATAAAATAAATATAAGAAGACCCTAAAAAATGGGGGAGAAGGCAGACTGGCTAGGTACATTAAGGCACAAGGAACAATAGGTGATGTGTTCTTGGGTTTTCTTTTTGTCTCATATACGTTAGACTTAAAGCCAGAGAAACCTGCAACCCAATAACATCAATGGTAAACACAAAAAAAGTCCCCCTAAACCCTACTCCCTCTAGCTAGAGGACAAGGAAAGGTGGGGCACAGTGTGACAGAAAAAATTCAGAAAATAAACCAACAATACAGAACACGCTGCCCCACTCTCGACCAAGCTGGCATGGGCTTTGGCTTCCACCCTCACCCAGCTCTGATGAGGCATCCCGGTATTCTCAAGTGGTGATCACAGGTCAAGCAGGCAGGAATGAATTGCTTCTCTGCTGGGTGGTGATAAACCCTTTGATAAGCTCTTCAATCCCTGTGTTTAGAGACCACGTGGAGATCCTGGACTCTCACTGCCACTTGGCAGTAATTAGATGTCCTGTGCTCTCCTTGCTGGGGTCATGTCAGAGATGGCCTTGTGGGGACAAATCTGTTCAGGAAGGTACTGGTGGAGGCCCTGTGGGGGTGCAGATGACCTGCCCCAGCCTGTGGTAATGAGGTAACCATCAGCTCTGCTGTCACCAGTGGTAGGCATTCTGCTGACACCAGCAATCACAAGGAAGAGTCCTTGCTTCCCTGACAGAGAACTGTCAGAAGAAATCAGTTAAACAGAGGCTCAAATAAGACTAGAGTCCCATAATGAGCACCCCAAATGCTTAGGTTTAAGTTAAAAAAAAATCACTCATCATACCAAGAACCCAAGGGGGGGACCAGCAATTAGTGTAATGGCTATGTCGCTGGACTCCCATGTAGTCGACCGCAGTTCAAGTCCCGGGTCCGGTGGCTTAAACTCACGCTGGGCGCGTTGGGTGCGGGTGCATACGTGCTCAAGATCCTGAGAAGGGATTGCGGCATGGCCACCCCCCCAGGGGGTGATTTCTCACTTTCTGTCTCTCTGTCTCTGTCTTTTCAGCAAGTGCACACGCCCTATAACAAAAACCTCTCAATAAATAAATAAATAAATAAATAAATAAATAAAGAACCTGGGGGGGGGAATCTCAAACTAAATGAAGAGATAACCGATAGCTGCCAATATCTATTGGGTCATCAGGAAAGTCATGACACATTTTCGCATAGAAAAACACAGAAAAATATGTCTTGACTTTCCTCATGACTAAACGGATAGAGGTATTAGAATTATCTGACAGACTTATTTATTTATTTAGGTTTTGCTATAGGGCGTATGTGCTCACTGGAGAGAGAGAGAAGGAAAATGAGAAATCCCTCCTCCCCTGTCCCCCCGGCCACTTGGAGCATTGGGGCATGTCCACACTGCAATCCCTTCTCCATTCTCCTCTCAGGATTTTGGGCATACATGAATGCACAAATGTCCAACATGATTATCAAGTTGCCATTTCCAGGACTCAAACTGTCAAGCTGGCCCTGTGGGATAAAGCCACCTTAACCTCCACACCATCAGCTAGCCCCCAACATAGATTTTAAAGCAGCCATCATAAAAATGCCTCGCTGAGCAATTACAAATGTTGAAAGAAATTTGTTATAAAAATAGAAAGTCTCAAGAATATAAAAAAAGAGAAAAACCCAAAGCAAGAGAAAGAAGAATGTAATGGAAGAACAGAATCAATGAATATAAAAACAGAAAAACAACAGAGAAAACTGTTAAAACAAGAGCTGGTTTTTTGAAAAGATTAATGAAGTTGGCAAACCTCTAGCAAGTCTGACAAAGAAGACATAATTTTTAAAAAATGATTTATTTAATTTTGTTATTATTATTTTTCTTCAGAGGTTTTTTTCTTTTTTCCACTATAGGGTGCGTGCGCTCGCCAGACAGAGAGAGAGACATAGAGACAGAAAGCGAGAAATCACCCCCCAGGGGGGATGGTCACACTGCAATCCCTTCTCCTCCATTCTCCTCCCGGGATCTTGGGCATGCACGCACACGCGCCCGGCGTGAGTTTTAAGCCACCGGGTCCGGGACGCGAACCGCGGTTGACTACATGGGAGTCCAGCGACATAGCCATTACGTTAACTGCTGGTTCCCTTATTATTATTTTTCAATTTGAGCAGAGAGATAGAGAGAGGGGGGAATGGAAGAAAGCAAGCCACCAGGTCCAGGACTTGAACCACAGTCGGCCATGTGGGAGTCCAGTGCCCTTAACTGTCATGCCACCTGCTGGCCTGACACAACTTTTTAAAAAGAATTATTTTATTTTACTTTATTTATTTTTGTTAATTTATTTTAATTTGACTAGAGAGGCACAGAGAGAGAGACAGAGAGAGAGAAAGGGAAAGTGAGAAAGCAAGTTGCTGGGTCCAGGACTCGAACCACAGTTGCCATGTGAGAGTCCATTGCCTTTAACCACCACGCGTTCACCTTCTGGCCCCACAGACACAAATTATTAATACCATGAATGAAACAAGAGCTATCACTACAGACCCTGCAGATATCAAAAGAATAATACAGGATTACTAAGAACAACTGCATATATTTGAATTTGACAATATACACAAAAAATAAAGTCATGGCTCAATATGAAATAGATAATTCAGACAGTTCTATAATGATTAAAGAGATGGAATTCGTAATTTAAACTCTCAAAAAAGAACTCTCAAGGCCCATAGAGTTTCACTGGAAAACTTTAGTAAATGTTTAAAGAACTAACATCAATTCAGAAAATAGAAGAGGAAGGAAGATTTAATTAATTCTATAAAGCTAATGTGAGGAGTCTTCAAAAAGTTCATGGAATGTGGAAGCCTTGTAATTCAATGGTTGGGGAGGGTTAGATTCTGCAGTTTGAATCCAGCTCTGATGGCTTGAAAAACACACTAGGGAAGGCCTGCAAGTGGCGGGTAGATAAAGGTGCTGAATTCCTACAGGGCCAACCATGGTTCGAGTCTCAGACCTGGTGGCTTGCTTTCTCACTTTCCCTTTCTCTCTCTCTCTGGTCAAATTAAAAAATAATAGCAACAAATGGAATTAAATAAATAAATAATTATTTTTTAAAAAGGGGAAGAAGAAAGAAAAGCACACTAGGTATGTGTGTGCGTTCCCAAGGTGCTGACAGGATGGGTAATGGAAGAGGGAGGATTGTGGCGTGCCATGCTCCCCATACGGGAATGCTTTCTCACTTTCTCTCTTTTTCTCTTCCTCCAGTAAGCACATGTGCCCACTGGCAAATTAAAAAAAAAAAAGTTCATTAAAAAATGGAATTAAGGTATGAGTTTATTTTATTGTTCAATGATTTTTTGGGGGAGTATGTGCTCACCACAGAGAGAAACAGACAAGGAGAGAAAGTATCCCCCACGTGGGGTACTGTCACGTCACAATCCTTTCTCCTCCATTTCTCTATCCTATAGGGATTCTGGGCACAACACACACACACACACACACACACACACACACACACACACACGTGTGTGTATGTATTTCTTTTCTACTTTTAAGTGTAGTTTATTCAGGAATAAAGAGTTATTCGGTTTTCAGAATTAAGCTTTTTGCCTAAGATGTAGGCAAAAAGAGGAAAATCCTAATTTTTTCCTAGAATAAAATCTTTTATATATGTGATTTGGTATTAAAAATGCAGTAACTGGGAGGGACCAGCAGTTAGCATAATGGCTATGTCGCTGGACTCCCATGTAGTCGACCGCGGTTCAAGTCCCAGACCCAGTGGC